GGACCATCTTTCAAGCCTGGCCCATTGCTCCTAGGCCAGCCTCCTTTGCTCCTCCAATACTAAATAGTTCTGAATCCCCTTGGTCTTCCATCTGTCTGCATGTGTCCTAGATCTCCCTGGGCAGGGATTAAGTAATTGTGCCATTCCCATCAGCATGCCCAGGGGTCTGGCAGGAGGGAAGCTGCCGGCTGGCAGCAGTGGGCTGAGCAGGAGCCAGGGGATAGTCTGCTCCAAGTCCCTGAGCAGCTTGCTGCTGTTCCCAGCCGTCAGTGGGCCAGCCACGTGCCCGCCTGCCCTGGATCTGCCTCAGCTCAGAGGCCAGCTCTCAAAGGAGGAGAACGCACAAGCTTAGATCAAGGGAGAATGTTTTCCATTACCAGGCTGCCCCTCCAGGTCCATCCCAATGGAAAAAACTAGACCCCCAACATACCTGAATACCTGAACCAGGGCAGGTATTCCTGCCTCCACCTCCTTTCTCAGTGCCTAACCTTCTAGCTCAGCTATTAACACTGAGTTAATAAAAGAAAGAACTCAGCCTGTAGACTTGCCAAAACTTAAAATGATCCAAAAAGTGTTTCCATTTGACTTTGGAGTGCGTTCAAATATGTATGTCAAATTATATACACACATACATGCCTGTATGTATTCAACATGTACTGAAATGTATGTGTTCAAATATACATGTCTTTAAATATATATATTTATGGATATATATAGATAAACATACATATATGTGCCTCATATATATATTTAAATATGCATACATTAATATGAGTGTCTACACACAAAAAATACAAATATTAGAAACATGTCAGCTGACATGGAGAAACAAACTTTAGATAAAATATTTTTCTTCCATAATCTTCAACAGAGATTATTCATGTGGGTAACTGAGAACTTACTGTATTTATAATCAACTAAACAGTCAACATCTTCCTATGATTTCCCACTGAAGAAGGAAAAAAGGAATTGTACAATTCCAGGAACAGTAGAATTCCTCAATTTGGTTTAAAGTAAAGTTATTCTATCTCAATGTAGATTTAGACCTTTTAATTTCTAAACATATTGGAGTAATTGTCTCTAGAGAATAAGATCATTGACTAGAAAACTGTCTTCTAAATTGATAACACACTGAAATCACCCCAGTTCTTTAAGATAGCTGACCAGCAAGAAAACCAAATAAGGCATCCAAATACCACCTTGATTTTAATGTTTTGTAGTCCATTCTTGCTTCATCTTTTAGCTCTTGCTCAATCACTTATTATATCCAAAAATGTGTGTCTTTGCTTCTCTGTCAGAGGGTAAATGGACATTAGCTGCTCATGTCCATTCAATTTAAAATTAAAATTTTAATTTTAAAATATTGAAATGAGAGAAATTTCAGGTGTCTTAATGGCACAATCATCTCACTCCATAGATGAGAAAATAGAAGCTCAGGCACTTCTGAGATTTATATGACTTTCCATGTTCTCATATTTATTTACACATTTCTATGTAGGTTTTTACTACATCTGGGACATACTTCAATGGCTTGTTTTGAAGACTGATTCAATATTGTGAACTTACCTTGATGACTTGTACATGGCAAGGATGCTCAATAAACAGAAATTTCCTCTTCCCCTGAGTTTTTAGCTATTGGTTTCTATAATTTTCTTGCTCACATTTAGTAACTGAATTCACTTACTTATATGCAAGGCATTGACCAAACATCTTTATTGTTATGTGTATTTTGACAGCTATCACAGAGTTTATTTGATTTTATAATCAACTCTCTCCCTCACTACTGTGCATCTATATCTAACCCTGGTCATTTTCTTCGCATTGTTTAATATTTGTAGTAATTCATTTTAGCAATTTTAGCAAAGCAGCTGAGGCTTTGCAAGTTCAAATAATCTAACCAAAGTCATTCAACCAGTAGGTTATCCAGAATTGTCATAATAATCCATTAACTTTATCCTAGAAAATGTGTTACTGAACCACCAATAAAAGATTTACTTACCGTTATCTAATTGCTTGGCCTGCAGGCTAGCAAATGTCTCTGAGCATGAGTTTTCTCTTCTGCCAAACACTGTCTATAATGCTTAAACTACTCGTACCTTAATGCTAATATTGAATAATTGTGCAAAAGTGCTTTATGAGTTTATAGTCTGTCAGACTGTAAATCTAGAAAACGTGCTCACATATTCATTTCTGCATTTCCAGAAAGTGGCTTAGTTCCTGGCCTAGAGTAAATTCTCAATAACTATTGATACTTGAAAAATTAAGTTGAAATCAAGTACATAGTGTTATATGTTTGTGAGGTAATAGTATTCTTTTTCTACATAGTCTTAGGCCAGATGACAGCAAAGAGCTACTACAAAGCTCCTTTTAGCTTTATGCCAATTTTTAGAAAAGAGAGAAAAATTCAGTATTTCCTCTTTTCCAAATTCAGAAAGTTTGATTTTGAAGATTTCTGTTTAAACTTTCCCCGTGAAGAGTTGAAAAATGGCATGTCCAATGTATGGAATAGGCTTGGATTTTGTTATTGTCTCTGGTAAATTATTTACTGTTTAAATGAAAAGAATCTATTGTTTTCTCTAGTTTTCAATTACCTCATCTATTCTCACTGTACTCCCAATAGTATTAATAACAATAAGAGGAAAGTGCTTTCCAGGTACCAGAACCTTAGATAAACATATCACTGGCATCATCATCATTTTTAATCCTCATACAGCTCTATGGATTGGTGGTATTCTAGGCCTTTTTATAAAGAAGGGAACTGAGACAGAGATGTTAAATAAATTGCCTAGGACTACTCAGCCAGTTAACTTCAAATCTAAGTCTGTCTGACTCGACCCTCTAAAAAATTCTATGGACTCTCTAAGCCTACGGTCACCATCAGCACTCCCCTAGCCATATATTGGCTGCAAATAGAAAAGATAACACAAATATAATCGAAGACTAATTAATAGAGCATAGATGGTAATAATTATCATTTGCTAAATACTTGCTAACTGCTTTAGATGTATTATCTCAATTCATTCACCATGTTAAAACTTAAGGCATTATTATGATTACTATTTTCCAATTGATCATTACACATTGTGTGCATGTACCAAAAATCATATTACACTCCATAAATATGTACAGTTATTATGTGTCAATTAATAATAATAAAAGCCAAAGGGGAAAGTAGAAAAAATATTAGTACCTATAAAACTATTTTTTGTTTATAAAAATAAAAAAAATCAAGGAAACTGAGCATTTGCAGGGTTAATCAATTTAACGAAGGTCATTCAATCAGTAAGTGGCATAGCTAAGGTATTATTCATTTGATTCTAAAGCCAGCACTTGTAATTACTGCACCAAACTATACTCCAAGGTTATATAGATTTTTAAAATAATCTTAAAAATAAGACATTTCTATGTTGATAGATTTTATTTTCATATTCATAATTCCCCATTAAAACATTTTTCTTAAATTCTAAAGATATGTGAGATTAAAGCTTGAAATGGATTTAAGCCTTCTCAAAAATGGGCACTTTCAAGCAACAAGGCATTGGTCTGCAGTCTGGCCTATACTATGTGGTCTACTTGGGCAAAGTCTAATCAAAAGTTGAGCTTCCATCAAGGGAAAGTGGGCCTTCTTTACGATTCTATTGCAGAGCATGGACATGAGTCAGCCTGGGTCACAGATGTAACAGGGTATCATATGTAAAGGACAATTTGAGGAGTGTCAAAAAGTAACTCTACTTTTGCTGGCTCCAGCATTGCACAGATATGACATCCTCATATACCTACCAGGCAAACAGCTACTGAGAATCATTTCACATCTTCTGGATAAATCGACCAGCTCAAATAAATTCTGGTTCCACCAGGATTTGTTTAGTTTCACTAAACTAAACAGATTAGTTTCCTAATATGTGAAGTCGGAATAATAATAGTGACTGCCTTACAGGAATGGCTTTAGGATTGAGTGAATTAATACCTGTAAGAAACTTAGAAATGTGACATTACGTAGTAAGCATCCGCTATCTGCTAGAAGGGGTTGTTATCTGTCAGTTTCTTTTTGTCCCTCTGGACCATTCTTTGCAAAGGAAAGATTCTTTTATGTGTCAAATGACGTGTACATAATCATTTATTTGATATTGCAAAAGACTGAAAAAACTTTAAATTATGGGACTTAATTTCATGAATTATGTTATTTTAGTATGTAGTGCTAGCCAGCTATAACAAAGAATTAAGAAACTTTTGTTAAAAATACTGCGAGTTGTGCTTAAATTTTTAAAAAATGCAAAAATGTGTTGTGTTGTTACCACTTGTAGAAAAAAAAGATAATATAACTTAATACTTGTACATAATATTTATTTATATATCCATAAAAGGTCTCTGATAACTAGTTTCTGGTTGAAGAGTGGGAACTGGAAGATGGTAGATAAGGGTAGAAAGATAACTTTTATGCTATATTTTTGTTTCTTAAATATTTTAAGCCAGGCTCTTGCCTTGATTAACTTTAACTTTTCTATTCACATTTTTAATAACAACATTATTATTATTTCTTTATTATCACCACTATAATCATGCAAGAAGGGACCCTGGAAGGTTTTAACTAGAGAAACCTGAAAGAAAAAAAATCAAGAGAAGGGTTGCCAAAAAAAACATATTTCATAATTTTTTTGAAAAGTTGGTTAGCCCACACACTTTGGATAATAGCACATCCTTCCCATTTATGTGTGGTTTGATAGCTTAGACTGCCCGCAGCCCTGTAATCTATAAGATTATTTTTTCTCAACTGTAGATTTTATAGTTGGTTATGTGAGTGGCAGAGACCAGTGCCTCTAGACTTCTAACTACTTAGTTTAGACATTTCAAATATTCTAGCATGATCAATTGAATTAGGGGATATGTCCTCCTGACAGACCAGTCTTTGCTCAGCTAGCTGCTTGTAGGACATAGAGCCCAAGAAAATGAATAAACGAAGAGTGAATGAAAGTTTTGAAGACTAACAACACAACACAATGTCTAATAAGACTTACAGCTTTATTTCTGCTAGGAAAAGGGGAGGAAAAACAGTCATGTTTTATACAAAATATTTAAACAATTGTTTTGCTTTATCTAAAATGTCTCCAGAAGAATGAGACCACACTAGGTTGGAGAGTAGGCTCTTTACAAGCTATTGCATTTCTAAATTTTAATTCAATTATAAAATCCCTCTGCACAATTTCAGAAAGTCCTGACTCATGGGTACCATATTCCCCAAAGGCATACACAGCAGATTATTAAAGAATAACTCTGGCTCATCTTAGACTAAAGAAAAGAATCTAAAAACATTAACTTGCATAGCCATTCAAATTATTGCTGCTTTTTATAAAAATCATCACAGAGGTAATTCTCTACTTTCTCCTTTCCCCTCACTCCAAAACTCAGCAATTCCTAGCAAAACCATGGGCTGCTTTCCAAATAAAATTTTAGGGAGGGGTTGCAAGCACATCTAAGGGGCCAAAGGAATTTTTATAAAAGGAAGAGAGAAATAAATTAAATAAATAATATCTAATAAATAACTCAGACAACATTGATTATCTACAAACTTAAATGCCAGAAAATGCCAGCTTCAAGAATGGAACCTTCCACAGCCTCTCACAAAGGTAAGTGCAGTACATCCTCAGAAAGCACATAGTAAGGCTTTATAAGTCATTTTACTTGCATATTTACTGTAGAGAAAATTGTGATAAGGGGGGACCACTTTGGTGGCTAATGGAGGTTAAGATCTCTCTCCAGGGCTATTTCAAGTGAATTTATAAACCAAGGGTGCGAAATATAGCAGGGTAAGTGGTGCGAGCAAAATGGAGAAAAGTAACTCATGCTGTAAGGAGATAATAAATAAGACAGGTAGAAAGACAAGATACACATGTAGTTGGCAGATTTTAGGTGATAGCTGAGCTATAGAAAATGACATAATAATCTGTGTTATCGATTTTTGTACTGCCCCTATTGAGGTACTCTGCATACTAAACTTATCCTCTCTGGCAGGAGCCGGACCTAATCCACTATCAAATAAGCTGTGCAGGCTCTGGTTTGACTTAAATAACTGTCCTGGCTGATTGAACAAGATAGGAAAATTTCTTAGGTCTCATTTTCTGAAAAAAATACAAATTTGATAAAGTTAGTGTTGATATAAAGGAAAGAGGAGTTACATAAAGAAAAATGAACACTCAGCAAATTGGTCTCAACCTGTGATGAAGACATAGTTGGCAAAAAGTATTCACTGACCTTGGATTTCATTTCTACATCCATAAGTTTGGTCACTTGAAATTTTATCTACAATATGTAATAACATATGCTATCTTAGAAGTGAGGAAGAGGTAACAATTAGTGCAATAGGAGAGAGAAGGAACTATATATATGTTGGGAAATTTTAACCTTGGTCAATAAATTGATTGGTGCTTGTGCTTCTGGAAAATATATTGGTGTGGACAGAGGTGGATGGTTTTAATCACATTTAACCAAATGAAATTCATCTTGCTAAAAAAAAAAAAAAATCCATTGGTTTTCCCATGGGCAACTGTGAGCTGGAGAGAGTCCCTGAACTACGGTAGTTAGTATAGACAATAGCTATTCTATTGCTCTTAAATATAAACCTGTGTTGTGTGCTGATCCTAACAGCAGCACCTGAGCTTCAATCAGAAGTTCCAGAGCCCTCTGGTTATGGAGGTCATGGTCTAGAAGACTTCTCTATGTCCCATTAGTCATAGGAGTTTGAAGCTTCAGTGACTTGTTTGCCCTGCCTCTGGTACTGAGAAAAACGGTTTTGAAATATTTTCAAGAATAAAGTTGGCATGAGTCTATTGTGGTTGTCTATTATGGTTCTTCAAATCATAAGGAAGATATGTTCAACTTTTAGTCCAATAACAAATAGAGTTAATCTCTTAAAGAACATGTTTTATTCTTCACAGTGACAGCCATGTTAGACTTTTAGCTGCTAGAAGCTATTTTTCCATAGACACAAAGAAGTCCTATCATTAAATCCAGACAAGCTTTTCATTCTGTGAGCTAAGAGACATGCACCTTGTGTTCCTTCTGGTAACTCAGTTTGATTATTCTGTGCATAGTATCCCTTTCCTATCATTGCTCTAGTCTTTTAGTTTCAAGGAATTTAAGAGTGATCACCACAGTTATAGAATTTCAGAACTGTGAAGGACTTTAGAAATCATCTGGACTTAGAACGATTGCCTCATATAAATACAATTTGTTTATTTACAATTGCTAGTAAATAAACAAAGGCCAGAAATGGAAAATGAATTGGCATAGACTAGGCAATGAGTTTTTGGCACCACTGGAATAGGACCCAGGTCTTCTCTTCTACTTTCATGTGATGATTAAATCAACAAATATTTTCACTTGAGGATCCTATGAAGAAATCAATGCAATGTGAGAAGGTGATGAGAAAAGAGGTGACAGGTGAAGGAAAGCCTAAATGGACTAGAACTATTGTTTGATATATATCCATGGGGATCCTTTAAAGTCATTGAATCTTTAGCTCAACCACTTGAATTATGGGAAATGTCTCCACGTCATTCTCTGGAATGTTGAACTTACTGCCTCACTCACTGAAGACTGTATTGAGTTGGGTCCCAATACCATGATGGGGGTAGGAATCATAGGACATGTCAATAGGGACGTCATAACGGGGGGTACCAGCCTGAAATGGAGTTGAATGCACATGCCCTGAGCTTAGACTTGCAGAAGGGTAATGTGGCATGAAGCTGTAGGATTTTTCTAGGTCTGGAGACCCATCTTGCTTCAAGGAGAAGTTCCCACTGATGCTCAGGGGTGGAGTGAGTGGACCCTCATAAGGGGGTGTACTGCAGTCAGGTAGATGACTCCCAAAGGATGATTCTCCCAAACTCTTGAATACTTGGGGCTTGAGATGAAGGAGATGTGTTTCCATATGGCCGTAAGGAGGGCTGGGGAGCCCCGGAGACTGATAATTGAAGTTGTGGACAGAGATGGCAGAGTCACAAATAGGAGATTTATCCTCATGCTTCTCCAGGAGGACAGACTGAGGGCCCAGTTGGAGACATCCAGCCACCAGGTTGCTTGTGGGCTGAGAAAGCCCTTTACAGAGCATCTCCACAAAGCCTTTTCCTTCAGGTGTTTGGCCAGTCTCCAAGACTTCAGACAAAGCCCAAATATAGTTCCTGGCCAGTCTAAGAGTCTCTATCTTGGAAAGTTTTTGGGTTTTGGAGTAGCATGGCATGACTCGCCTCAGGTTATCCAGGGCATCGTTCAGGCCATGCATCCGGGTCCGTTCTCTGGCATTGGCCTTGACCCTCCGAGCTCTGAATCTCTCAAGGCGAGCTTTGGTCATCTTCTTTTTCTTGGGACCCCTTCTCTTAGGTTTCTCCCCATCTTCTTCCTCTTCTTCTTCCTCCTCAATACTGTCATGCTCTTCAGTTAAGCTGCTGAGCACCCCGTAAGTACCTGGTCTGCTCTCTTCCTCCTTCACCTCATTTTGGGAGCCCAGACTTTTATCCATCCAGGATGGTGTGTTGACCAGCTCTCCCATCTCCTTAGATTTCACGTAGGTTTTTGCCATTTCCAGACTCTGGAAAAGGGAAATATCAAAGTTTAATTCCTGTGAGTACCGGATTTTCTTTAAAACTAAACTTTTTAAAAATATAATTATCTTGTCCAAGTCTTCCATTCTCAATGACAAATCCAAGATTCAAAGAAATGCCCAGAATACTCCTCTAGTTATGGCATATTATAGAAAAATATACTATAGAAAAAGAAAATTGACTTGATTATTCATTGCAGTGTTAGTGCCTCTTTTTATTCTTAGATTTTTTTATCTCATGAATATTTTATACAAAAATGACTGATATACCAGTCCAAAGAGATATTTTTCTTTTTTTCCAGAATCCAGAACATTAAACAGGAAAAAATGAGGTGAGTATATAAATTATGGTTCAGATGGAGACATTTCTGAAAGTGAAAGAGGGTACTAACATAAGTATATGTGTATAATAATTATTGTTATTGCAAAATAAAAAGCCCATCAAATAGTCAAGCAAGCACACTGTTGTATATTTACACCATACAAAATAAAAAACTGTAGCGAGATCATTCAGACTACTTTGTATGTGTTCTACAAAAGACTACTCAACCTGTATTTAGAAGTATTTCACATCCATCTAGCCTATAATCTCCCATGTTTCTCGCCAGTATTGCTAACTGGTGGCTTCAATCATTTCCTTCAAGTTGTCCATGGCACAACTGGCGGTCCAACACATGACCATCAGACATTACTCTCACCATTACCAGAGGAGCATTCTGTTTTTCAATAAGCGCTTTGTGTTCTGCCTAGTGTGAGTTATGTTAGAAGTGTTAGTGACATGGCGTCTTGAAAGGATCAGGAAAAGAAAGGAGGGTTATCACTGATCATCTTTCAAATTTGCCCATATGTTAAAGTGAGAACTCTGCACATGCATCTCACACCATCAGACAAGACCATGGCAACAGCTAGGAGTACAGCCAGTGCTTGACCAAACCCATCCAAGCTTTAGTGCAACTATTATAATAATAGTTATAAAATCTGGAACAAATGCTAACCTAAACAGAACATAGTGACTGCTAACACAAGTGAGGACTATTTCAGGCAAACACAGAAATAGCCTGACTACTTTAAATCACTTGCCTAACACACTGTTTAATCAGAATTTTGTATGTAAAATTCACTATTTGAAAACCAGAAGAGATTGGTGATTTAGTAAACATTTTGCATTCAATTCTGGAAGAGTTTGAATTGTTTTAAAACTTGCTAAGCAATTTTTAGGCATATGGTTTACCAAATAAAAGTATCTGATAAGCTCCACTGGGGCATCCCAGTTTACCAGCTACTCTGAAATATTAAACCCACTATCACCTTTTAGTATGAGAAAGGGGAGAATGTAATAAATGTTTTCTGTTCTTTGAAGCTTGAGCCTCAAATCAATGAACACAGGGATTAGTACATAGCTTTTAAAAAATAAAGATATATTATTTGATTTGTTTCTGGTAATTGGAGCTTGTTTTCCTTGTAACCTCATTTACCTCCTATAAATAATTAATGTCACTGCATTGCAAAAACAGCCTAGGTTTCATGTTAATCAGCACGGAAATCATGTCAGCTTGACTTACTCACTTAATAAGGCTTCCTGGGTAAGCAGCTTTATTGAAAACACACATTGGAACCTATTGGTCAACTGGCTGCCCAGGCCAACTCAGAAAATCCCACTTTTAATATGGATGATAGAGCTTGTGTGCTGAGCTGCACTTCTAACTCAGGCAGATATCCAGAGGGAGGGTAAAGAACCTAATTAACTTTCTGTTAAAGTAACACAGCTCTTCCAGAGGCAGGTGCACTCTAAGGCCAAAAAGGATGGAGTAGGCTTGGGAAACCTAATGCTCCCCACGTAATTACAATAACATTTGTACAGCATTTTAAAGTATACAGAGCACTTTTGTATCCATTAATTGTATGTTTCTTACAGCAAACCTTTGAGGAAGATAGAAATTTTTATGCTCATTTTATACTCAGGGTCACTGTGGGTCAGGTAGTTTAGGTGATGGAAATGCAGAGACATAGTGCTGGTGGAACAGGACACAAAATCAGTTCTTCTGATTCCAAATCTTAGGTTTTGTGTTTTTCTTTTCTTTTTTCTTCTTCTATCACAGCTACAGGAAGAAAGTAAGGCTTCAGGAGATATACAGTAATAGAACTAAGTCAACAGGGGTGGCCATTATACAAAGGGTGTTCTTTGAGGTGCCTTATAACAGGATTCCTTCCTCTTTCAAATATTTTCCTTGTTGCTTTCACCCATATAGCCCCCCTCCCTCTCTTTCTTATCCTCCTCCTCTTTCTCTTTCTTCTCATTCTCTTCATTCTCTTATCTTCATATCGTCATTATCATTGGCTCATACTAATATTCATGAAGAGGAGAGAAGGAAGGAAAGAAGGAAGATGCAAGAGAGGAGAGTCTCCCGAATTGCCCCTGGATCTGAATACCATCCTAGCTGGGGGATTTAGCCTTCTTCACCATCCCTACCTCTGTTCCTCCAGACTCTTGTTAAGATCTGTCAATACTCACATTCATCAAAATAAGTGAGAGTGAGAGGATAGAATAGACCATCTTTTACCTTTAACATATTTAATGGTTTCTGTTAGAGTCAAGGAGCTGCTTTCAAATCAGCTTGTTGGTATGTATGAAGAAAAAGAATCAACTGGCTTTGGCCAAAATAATGAAAAGGTCAACCAGTTTTCTTTCACCTTCGTTCTCTTACTAATTGTGGGAAGGACATAGATAGCTCCTGTTTAACTTCCTCTGTTCTCATAGGTGCTAGTCCATTAACTACCAAGAGAATCCCATGAGTATAAGTGTGGTTTCAAAAGAATGGAAGCTGGAATAATGCAAATGTGAACTCTCATCCCAATTCTTCTAATTCCTGGGTTGTTGATCCCAAACACATTACATAAAGTTATCTGTTCTTCCATTTCCTCTAATAAAATAGGGCTAATATATGTGTTGTGTGATTCTTATAAGAGAAATAAAAGCATAATAAAGAATTTTATAGCTGTAAATGCTATAGAACATTATCATTACATTTATTTCTGTTTATTCTTGAGTTTTCTTATCTAATCTATTCACACACGTTCCCTATTCAAAAATAAAATTCTTTGTCACAGATGAATAATGAAGCAGCCTGTATTAACTAGTATGTCTCTTATTATCTGGATGTTACCTCTGATTGGCGTATAAAATCATCTGACAGTTACTCAGGAGCCTGTCATTTTTCCCATGATGGGATGGACAGCACAAACTCCAGTGTCAGATTACCTGGATTCAAACTTCAGCCCCGCTACTCACTAGATATATGTACTTAGGCCAGTTTCATAACCTTATCTGCCTCGGTCTCCTCCTCCTTAAACTGAAAACAATAAAAATCCTATGAGGTGGGATTGTTAGAGCATAAAATGAGTTGATATATCTGAAGCACTTTGAATAGTGTCGCATCATCAATTTCATATAAATACTAGGTACTGTTATTTCTAAACATCACCATGAATTTTTCTGGCCACTTAGACAAGAGTAGGTATAATTAGAATCTGTTATTAATATTGATTTTATGTCAACAAAAGCTAATGGCTTTATTTCAACATCTATTTGAAAAAATTCCCCAATACAACTATTCCTCCAGTCTCCTGTTGAAACTGAAATCAAAGGTTCTGTTCTGCTGCAGGAGGTGAGGAAACCAAGCCCTATCAACTGGCTCCACTGAGTTGATTAGAACTCTTCCATCATATTCAAGATTCAAGTTAGCTCCCAAACTTTCTTTCTACTTTATAACTGGGAGAAAACATTTGGCTGGACACTCCTATTCACTCACATACATTTCCAGGTTCATAAACTTTCTGTGTTGGGAATACAATTTTCCCACTAAAACCAAATGGCAGAAAGCTCCGAGGATAATATGCATTGTCTATCAAAGAGAAGTGAAAGCCAAGACTCCTGAAATATAAAGAAAAATGTTTCTCTGACTTTTTTCACCTAAATATTTTCAATGCAGCAAAGAGGTTAACATGAAAAAAATAGAAACACCTAATTTGAAATTTGGGTGTTGAAAATGTGTATACTGTAGTTCTGAGTTTTGATCAAAGAAACCAAGGGTTTTCTCCAGAACAGGTACCTAAATCTAATGTAGCTTTCAGCCTGTTAAGGAAACATCTCAGAGGTGTACTGAAAGAAACAGAGACTCTTCCATCATTCACCATTAAATGAGCACATAAAAATTATTTTAATTATTGTACCCTTAGGGAAAAATGAAAATGAGATTGTCTTTCCTACATCATTTAGACGTTTTCATGAAAAACAAGGAGATAATGCAAGCACAAGTACTTTGTAAAATTGTTATGCCAATGTGAGGGTGAGGGTTGGCAAGTGTTTTACAGAAGCTGTTTGAGAAAGTCTGTAGCACTATCTCACAAAGTATCATAATATACCATCTTAAGGTTTCCTCAATTACTGGGAAAGAAGTTAGCTCACAAATTATATAGGAAGTAGACTCCACTGTGACAAAAATCAATAAATACTGACTCAAGGGGCAGAATCTGCCCCTTCTCACGCATACACATAAACACATTCTGATCTTATAAAGGCCATTTTTAGCCTTTTATTTGGTATTTGGATTTTCTTTTACACCTATACAATATAACAGAATTTTCCTATTTCTATAGAATCCTTTACTGAAATTTCAAGTTTAAGCTATTCTCCTTAATTAAAAATATGTCTCATATTTTTAAAAATTTTAAATCTGTTCTAGCAAAGTGTTTGCTTAGGCAATGACTGTGACTATCCAATATTTTTACTATTAGGGCCAAAGTCATTGAACATTACTACTATGTGGAGCTGTCCTGGAATTCTGTCTACACTTTTATAAATTTTTTATTTATTATGGAGATGTTTCAACTAATTAATAAGTAACAGGAATTCACATGTGGATTTGTGATAGTTAGACAGTGTCTTTTCTCTTAAAAGCTGGTGATAATCTCATTACCTACTGATCTGATGACCAAATACAACAGAAAGGGGGATGTCCAGCCCAGTTTCTAGGAAATCTAAGAACTAAATAGACTAAATCCTTTTCCCAGAGTTGCACGGTCTTGGCATCAAAAAGACAGAATACAAACCAGGATGCTCACAAGTTGTATTGCTTGGAAAAAGCCAGTAGGGTGTTCTATGCTCTTCTTTTCTACTCTACTATTTTCCCCTTTATTAATATGTGTGCACACGTATATACACGCATGCCCCTACACACACTTTATGTCCGGCAAAGCCAAGTAATACTTCAGGTACCATTGCCTCAGAGCTTAATAGTAAACAGAAGTTACTCAATCCTTTATTTTTCCCTCCATGATCTTCAACATTTTATCTCAGCTTCCTCTGTCAAAAAATGAGGCGGGCATTTTACATTTTATTAGTATTTTCTGAATATACTTTTTTTGTGGTCAAATGATGGGTGTGAAGCAGAGAAAGTAAAAATATACTTGGACAATCTTTCTCTTCTGATTTCCATGTGAAAGAACTGAGAAAAGGAAATTTCCCCCACCCCATGCCAACTATTTCAGCATTTTTAGTAAACCAAATAGATAATGGTGAGAATCTATCCCCATGACTTTCCACAATCTTCTCTGATTCCTCATTCTGCTTTCCTTTCCCTGCCTCCCCCTGCACTCCTTCCATAGCCCTAAAATGCTGTGAGTCGAGTGGGGGATTGGGTCAATTTTTCCAACCGACTTGGAAGGCCACCTTGGAAAAGCATTAAACTTTTGGGCATTTTCACCACTAGCAAAACGAAAGAGTGGGTTTGACAGTAATTGGGGAAGATCATCTGTAATCTCCACTGCATCAAAATGATTGTGAGTGTCTGTGTTTTTCACTTTGGGTGGCAAGTGCTATAAAATTTATTAAAATTATTTAAAATGCGTATATTTGTCCCTAAGTGTTCCACTCACTAGCTTCTTTACTCCAACTTTCCTAAGCTCTACTTCCTCCTGCCTTAGCTCAGAAGAGGCTTTCCTCACCCCAGATGTCCTCTAGGGCTGTGGGAAATTTCCACAGAAAATTTAGTCCCCATACCACCCTAACCACTGGCTCACCTTGGCCTCTGGAAGTTCCTGGAGTGAACTCTGTGAATCTGCGTCTTAGAGGACAGTCAGAGAAGCCAAGTCTCCCTGACCATCCAGATCGTAGGAGAAAGATGCTTTCAGCGATCCATGTTAAACCCGGTTGTTACCTCTTAGAGATTCCACCGGCTCTGGTTTCTCTGCCTGCTTCTTATTCTACTTCTTCCTAGGAGTTCGGTATGCTCCTCAAGGACGCCTTCGAGCTGATGCCTCGCTGCAGCCGGTTCAGTCGCTCTTCAGTACCTCTTCTCCCTGGTTAGCTCCCCGGAGAGGAGCTTTCAGGACCACAGCCCCTGGGCAGCTCCTGCTCTCTGGCCGGAGCCTCTGACTTGCTGCAGTTTTGATTGCTCTCCCAGCTGACCAGGGAGGAATGATGTTGCCCAGAGTCTAACTCCTCCCTTTCCCCAGCAGAAAGGCACGCCCACTTCAAAGGCTGCTCTGCCCAGGTCCAGTTTTGCCGCCTGTTTGTTTAAATAGAGATGGGGGCTGGTGGAAGGAGGGAGCGGGAGGAGAGTTGCTGAAGTTGAGGAGTAAAGGAAAAGAGGACTGGAAACCTTTGTGATTAAAAAGGTAAAAAGTGGGAGCAGAGTAGGGTACGCAGAACGGATAAAAAAAAATTGGGGATAGACTTGGAGAGAGAGCTAAAAAGGGCAGATGAAGCAGTCGACCTACATCTGAAAAGAATCAAAAGGTGAGAAAGATGCGTGTCAAGGATGCAGCATCAGTGACTGCTTCCTTACACATGTGGACTGGTGTCTTTGGCTTTTAAACTTCAGAGTTCTTAAAGTAGAAGGAAGAATTATGTCTCTCCCACCTTTCAGCATGTCCAAGTTACTCTCATTTAAAACTTTCAATTTGTGAATATATCTATATTCACAAATTATAGATCCTTCCAGATCACCGATGCCCTGGGCACTTCCGTCACCACCACTGTGCACAGGCTCATCAAAGACACCCTTGCCCTCTGAGCCCACCTTGTCCCCGGGAGCTCCTCGATGGCTCCCAGACCTTGGCTTTGGGGGATTGTACTGTTAGGCCTGTGGGCCTTGAAACCTGCTGCATAGATGAAGCTATGTCTGTATTTGTTGTACTGTTCTTTCAACCTTCTGATCACTTGAAATTTATAAAAACAGAAAAAGAAATTAATACAACTCTTCATTTTAAGGACATTTAATTCCTTAGGTTACAACCTGAGATTTACCATTGTTGTTCAAAAATACATCATTAAGCCTTCGTGTAGAAAAAGTGCACCTGAGTCCACTTGGTGATGAGCTTATAAGAAAAGAAGGCTCATAATAATTCCTAAAACTCCTTTGCTATTATGAGGTTGAATTAAATTGTTAGAAGATAGAAAGAAAAGTACATCTGGAATAATTTAAATATATAGATATGCATACTATGTTATTTAAAACTTGACCAAGGAAAAATAAATGATTGTAAGCTTAAGATACCAAAGATTTTCTCATCATCTTGTGTTCCTAAGAAGGAAAAAGAAAGGTGCTCAGATTAAGCAATTGGCTAAATGATCTTGAGTAAGTCAACTTCACTCTGGGCATCAGTTTTCATATCTGTAAAATGAGCTGATTGCTTATGTTTTTCCATCAGTATCTTGATAGAATTCCAAGTTCAAGTTCAACTTCTTTTAGAAATGGACTTGAAGGATAATTCCTCAGGCTTTTTGGCAAAATTTTTTATATAAACATTTTTATTTATACACTCCAAAAAGAAAACAGAGTATCCCAGGCTTTTTGAGACTCACTCATTTGGTCTAACAACATAGCCAGCACATACATCAAACAGAGAGGAAAAATTATAAATGTGCTTGTGTGCAAGGAAAGCCACAGAGGGCTAAAACAAAAGATAGTTTTACTCTCACCAAGTTGAAGAGAGTATCTTAAGTTTGAAAATAGTTATTTTTAATTCTGATGTAAATGTCATCATGACTTTTGTTTTTCACAGAAAACAAGAAAATAAAAATGAACACTTTTTTCAGTTTTCATGGGAAGTTAGTTATTTTCAGCAGCTTTTTAGTCTCTTACTTATCTTTAGTATATTCCTATCCAGAAAAAACTCTGCTCAGAAAAATAAACTTCATTTTCATAGTTATTAAACAGCACATGATGGGAATAGCAGGTTTTTAATAAACAAATCAGAACTCACCACTCTTTGGCCACAGGAAATTTATCTATGAGGTAATTTATGTCTAGGATAGAGGTGCTTAATCATTGTTCAATGAGTGCTTATTGAATGAATTGATCTCCTGCTCTGTGTCTTCAAAACCTTGTCCATGGATATTTAGAAGTTGATGGTACTAGTGCCTGTGAAATGTTCAGGGGTAGAGAGTAATAACAGATTAGCAGAAAGGTGAACATATTGAGACAAAGATGAGGGTGGGGATAGAACATTCTGCAGGACTCCTTGCTTTCTCTGACAGATGTAAGGGACTGGACACAATAGGATTAGCCTTCAAAATACATTCAATTGTGTGTACGTGTGTGTGTGTGTGTGTGTGTGTGTGTGTGTGTGTGTTTGAATGTGCACACTCCTGAAGCATTGGGAGGGAGCTGTGGATGCCAAATTTTCTTTAAGAGCTGCCTTTTGCAGAGGGTTGGGTGGAATCTATTTCATCAGGGTCACCCTTGTCACAACTCCTTGACAGTTGTACAGTTGGCAGTTCAACTCTGAGGGGGCAGGAAGGGACAGAACGGGTGTGTGCTGTCAGCAAAGGAAAAGGGGTGGTGACTGCCCTTGGAAGGGAGAATACAATGCATTTGCATGCATTCTCCTCCCCCCACATGGTTCCTGGGCCAGAGGGCCAATCCCCAGCCCTTCCTTCTTTCTCTGCTGCTTTTTGTAAAGCTCTGAGCTAACCTGTAAGAACCATCTGCTGAGTGGGGAAAAGGAGACCAGTACTCAGTTTCTGGCCCACAGGCCTGACGCCTGGGAGCCATTGAAGCAGAGAGAAGGGAGGCAACAGGCAGATTTATGAGCAGCAATCTGTTCCCCTCCTCCCCCAAGGACCCTCTGCCAGGAGACAGCCTGATAATCCATCAACCCCACTAATGAATTAATTAGTATTCCCAGTAATCCTGACCCCCAAAGGAGACCTGTCTGTGGGCCCCTAAGGGGGGTAGAAACTGCCTTCTTCAGTCAGACACTGAAGACCTGGGACCAATGTCTGACATTAGGCTCCAGAATGCTAAGCCTCAAGCCACAGATCCTGTTGCTGACAATCCCCAGATGTCCCGCCTTCTCACCTTCCCTTCAGAGATCACTAGCTTCTGCTGAATTACAATCAAATACCACCAACAAATGGAGTCCAGGGATATATATCAGGAGCTGTAGAGAGCAAGAAGGTGAACATTCAAGGAAGAAATGATTCAGGCTGCCCACATTCAGGTTAGACCTGAGCAGACCCTAAAGTTGTTCCCCAAGGTTTAGGCACTGGGACCTGGGATAGGACTGGGATAGGGTGAGGGCTGAAGGAAAAGATAAAGAAAACATAGTCCCTGACTTCAAGAAGTTCAGTGTTCCAGTAGAGAAATAATACACGTTCAAAAATAACTGTGAAACAGGTTAAAACAAAAAGTGATTTGTGATGTGAACCTCTCCTGAATAACGACGAAAGTAAAACACAGAGGGGTCAGTTGAGTTTATGAATAGTTTGGAGAATAGAATCAAAGAGATTCAATAACCCTCCCTTACAATAGCAAAGGGGAGTGCTTCGTTCTTTTCAGAAACTCTGTAGTAAAGTGGGGCAGGGGAAAAAGTTTAGGAGTAAGGAAACCTTGCTCTAAATCTTAGTCTGCCTCTGTGTGGGGCTGTGACGAGTGATCTAACCTCTCTGGCCTCACATTCCTCATTAGGCAATGATCAGCTTGGATTATAATCTCTCAGGGTCCTTCCAGCTCTGACACTCAATGATATAGTTAAGTGTCACAATTCTTTTTTGAGGGTGAATAATACTGGCCCATTGAAAGTATGAAGACAGAGTCTTCAGGTTTGAATAAAGCAATATAATAGGTTAATGACAAAAGTGGGTCTAGAAACCAGGTAATAAATTTGGATGTCTTTCTATCTAGATTGCTGGTCCTGTTGGGAAGAACACTTAACTCAACCTTCTTACACCATATTCACTCGAGATCTGTGCATTTGGGCATTCACTGGGCATATAGAGTGGCTCATTCATTACGCAGTTTTTAGGTACACAAAAGTGCCTGAATTTGTTTACATCTGCTGGGAAACTTCTGTACCTTTAAAAGCTCTGTACCATCCTCCCGCATCCTTTTCTGCACTCGCTATATCTAATTCTTAAGAGCAAGGTCCTCTAGGATTCAATTGAACCGTTGAATCCTAACATTGACATTTACTAACCATGTGACCTCAGACAAGTTACTTATTTCACTGGGCCTCGGTTCCTCTATCTGTAAGTTGGAGGTAATAATGCTTATTCAATGAACTTGCTCTGATAAACATAAACGAAATAATGCATGCAAAGTATCTAGTATAGGGTCTGGCACTTAGCAAGTACTCAATAAGTGGTAGTTATTACTAGTATTTTATCTTAAACATTTAAATCAAGCATTAAATCACACAAAAGCTATTATCAGACTCCTTATAAAGGCCCTGTTTTTGTGCTCATATCTCAATCCAAGTATTCCTTTACATAATAATGACCACATTATTAATTTACCCAACAAATGCATTGTATGCATATATAAAGTCCCAGGCACTGTGCAAGATTCTGGGACTACAGAGAGCCGTAAGACTAATTCCTAATCAACTTTCAGTGTAGTGGCAGGGGCAGTAAACTAAATATATAAATATATCTAAAACCTCTTCTTATCTGTGTCTAACTTTCTAACATAATTACATATGTGCCCAGGGACCCATTATGTATCAGATATATTAATTGCAGCATTGTTTTTAATAATGGAAAAGTTTATTATCAATACATTAAGTGACCAGTGGTTTAACCAAAGTATGATATGCCATTTAACTTGCATGAGTTGGTCTATCTATACTATCAAAAAATGTACTACATGTACTAACATGCTGTAAAGGGAAATATAAAACAATTATAAAACTATATGTTCAATATGATATACTTTATTTTTTAGTGTAGACACATGCATCAAATAATACATGTATTTTACAGATACACACTTATATACACATACATGAACTGATAACAGTGGGTCTTTCTCTCAGGAAATCTCAGAGCTGACATGAAGTAAATTGAGATCATGTAGTTATTGAAGGAAATTGTTTTCTTTTTACACAAGTATAATCTATCCATATGTAACTTCTGAATGTGACATTGATTTTGAAACATAATTAAAATAGGCTATCTTTAAAATCCCATACCTCACTCATAGCCAAACTTATTTTCAGGAAAGAATCTGATAGCCACACCCTACAACACCAAACACTGGAATATATATACATGCTGACATGACTCTTTCATGAAAAAATTACTACACTGGCCTCCACCAACTCCCCCTTATACACTCAGCCCCAGGAACATTTGCCCAGTCTTAGGAGCAAAATTTAAGTTGAATTCAGTAAGCTTCAATCATGTGGTTATTAAGCCCTAAGAAATAGCTGATGGAGGGCA